GAGTCTTGAATACCCTCCTGTTCCACTATGTTCTCTAGGCATTGCGATGGAACTAACAGTTCTTAGCAGCTTTAAATCCATCTATTTTCTCCAAGTAGATGCTCTTTTTACTTGACCGTAGTTCAGTGGCATGCCCACTCATTTCTTCCTTGTTGAAAATGCCTCATCCTCTACTCAGTCCATTTACCTCCTCATCTACAAGGATCCTTGCTTAGCCTGTGGGGCCAGAAGAGCAGGCTCCAGTCATCAATTTGTCAGTGGGAGAAGCCCGAAGACCAAGCCAGTGTGTTATTTGCACAAGATTTAGTAGCAAATTAGTGTCTATAGCATCATTAGAGCCTATTTGCCAGCATCTCAGCCCACTCCAGACTTGGGTTAAAATGCCTGCTAAGATTTACCAAAGCTGTGGTTGAAAAATCAAAATATCCTCTCTGAAATATAAAATGTACACCCCAGACCAAAATCACTACCATCAAATTGTTTCTGACTCATGCATAGCTACCCTAAGGTCAGGATGGAACCACCTCTGTGGGTTTCTGCAACTCTAAATTCAGTGCCATGCGTGTCTGACTGTTGAGAAATTTGGGCTGAGCTGCATTAGAAAGAAGGCCAGAGTGTTCCTTAGAGGCAAGGATGGAGAAACTTTGTTCTAAGTACTCTGGCCACATGTCAGGAGAGACCAGACCTTGGATAAGGGCATCATGCTTGGTAAAGTAAAGGGACCGACAAAAAGAGGAAGGCTTCAAGGAGATGGATAAGCACAGCAGTTGTAACAATGGGCTCTGGCATAGGAATGGTGGTGACAAGGGGGCAGGATTCAGCAGCGTTTTATTCCTTTGTACATAGGATAGCTATGAGTTTGGAGCCAACTCAGTGGCACCTGTCAACAACAGCCGAAATTAGTTCACACTGTCAGAGTTAGAAGTTGTCATGTTCCAAAGATGTTGTTTAATGTGACTGAAGGAAAAGGGTTGGCCCTTATATAGAAAGACACGTTAACATTCTCAATGGGGATCTGTGTGTGTGTGTGTGTGTGTGTGTGTGTGTGAGCCCTTCTTGCACTTAAGGACCCCATGCTCCTGGCTTCCATTCCTTTACATGCTGCCTTTTCCCCAACTGCTCCAATGTGGGGGGCACAACACTTAGAATCTACTTTCCACAAGGCAATATGAAGTCATGTTGCCCCACCTTGTAGTGAGCATTCACAGGAGACACAGATATCTTCACTTCTTTGGCATATCCATGTTCCTTCCAAGCCCCTGATCAATGAGAAACCATTGAATCAAACCATGGACCACAGCCCATGAATTAGTAAGCAGATGTACATCTGACCATCTCTCTTTCCAAGCAAAGTAACCAACCGTGAAGCTTTGCCCATGGAGAGCATTTCTCGTCATCCCTGTCCTTCAGGTCAGTCTCAGGCTAACATCCTTGTTTGCAATGATCCTTGTTCATCCCGTGAGGCCAGCTGGGCAGGCACTGGCTCCCCGTTAGTCAGAGGGAGAAGCCTGGAGACTGAAAGTAAAAGTAAAGCCTTTGGTTTGCTTTACTTTCTGAATGGAATTCATTTGTAGTTTGCTTCTTGCTTCCTTTCTACAGGTCATCAGAGAGGTCACTCCTGAGAAACTGAA